GAAAGCAGCGGAGCTTTTATTATGCCACAGCCGACCGCTTCCGCTCCTTCCAGTCGTGAGTATGTGGGGGAAAAAAGCAGCGCTGTTTTATCATACTAGATACATTTGAAAGTTCTGTTATAATGCTACTCTGTGCGGTCGTCTCCTGTCTAATAAAACGCACAACATATTAAAGCGTTTCCATGTTTTCTACAAAACAAAACCGGAAATCGAGGGGTTATGGCGTCATTGGCAGGCGCCACAATGACACTATAGATACGGTCCGTGTCACTAGTTAAAATTGCTTTTTTCTCTGGATTTAAACATTCTTCGAAACATTTGGGATAATGTAAGTGCACAAGTCAGCAAAATATATAACACTGTTCTAGTGGTTTTTGGAAATTTTAATAAAAAAATCTTTATGAAAATTATGACCTCTCTGAGCCTATCTACATTATCACCAGCCTGAATCAGTGTTGAATATCATCACTTTAGGTATTTTATTCGTTCAGACTCTATTATCTTGTTAGATCACTGGCATATGAAGTCACTGAATGCATTTCATCCTTTGCATCTCTGCCATGTATAATGAGGGGTATTGTGTCTCTGATCAACTGTTCTGACATTTGGCTGCCATTTCTCATTTTCGCCTGGATTCCAAAGAAGTGATATATTTAGGGTAATTTTCTTCAAGCAAGGACAGACCTGTAAAACGGCATACTGATTGCCAAATAGAGGAGAATGCGTTGCAATCTTTATCCTCTGACAAATCTCCTGGCTCCGATGGTTTAACGGCCAACTTTTACAAATTTTTTTGGGATTCACTGGTCTGTTGTTCACCTGCTAGGGAAAGATGGTTATTTTATGGATCACAGTACTTTTTGTGAAAAATATAATATCCATTGTGATTACAAGCAATATAATAGGGTATTGAACTGTATTCCAAAGGCCTTTGTACTGTTGGTTAGAAATACGGTGCCCAATGTAACTGTAGCTCTTCATTTACCTTCTTTGATAATAAATGGGCAAGATTTTATTAGGAGTAGCCTGCCAAATAAATTAATAAGGACTTTATTGATCCAAGATAAATTTCCAAATCAAGCTATTCGAAATAACGTGAATTATCTTTTCCCCAAGAGCTCTATTTTTTAATTAAGAACCATGTATCTCTCCTTTCCCATACCCCACAAAGCCAAGGAAGTAAATTTTAAAATTGTTAATGATATCTACCCATCTTTAGAGTTTCTTAGATATAGATTTAATATTGATCACAATAATTGTACCTTTTGTGATGTTGATATTGGAACGACTGTACATTGTTCTTTGACTGTTCATTCAGTAGAGCCTTTTGGTCTGATACATTTGAGTGGCTTAAAGTTTCAATGAAACTGTCCTCTCAATTTTCTAAAAATAATATAATTTTTGGTCTAATAATGGAAGATGTACATACTCAAGTTGTACTGAATAATATTTTCATTCTGGGGAAATCTGTAAGACTGTTAAAATGTAAATCTGGAAGAAGACTGTCTGGTTTATTGCAGAAATTTAAATTATTAGAAGACCCTATTGTGTAATTATTTTTCTTTCTTTCTTTTCTCTCTTCATGTTTTTTTTTCTTTAATTTGGATTGGTGCTCTGTTCTTGATGATCTTCTTACGATCTTGTATTGCCTTATTGTATATGTGTTTCTTGCAATAAAAAAATTAATTTAAAAAATTGCCAAATAGAGCATTTATAGAATCTGAAGTGAAAAAAAAAAACTGCTAAAATGTTGCTGGATTTGGTCATTGCTTATTTTACAGCACACAATATAGTATAACTTTCCCTCCCAAAGTTTCCTAAGGTTTTATACTTTAATGTAACTGTCACAAATTAAACCAATACATCATGCATGTATGTAACTTTCACATGTTCCATGCAAGCAAACAGCCACCAGCAATGGCAAATTAGACTAATGCAACCTTCCTCCTAGTATGATGTGCCAGTTTTTTGGAGGCAATTCCGGGACATATTTTTTTATGGATGCCAGACACGCATCCTTCATTATGACCTCATAAACGTCAGTTTAAATAGGCTTGTTTTGCAGGGCATAAAAGGACAAACAAAAACTCAGGATTAATGAAAAACACTTTGCCCAAACACTTCTAAAAATGTAACATTTCATTAGTTCTATTCGACTAAAATATGGGATGAATAAGATGAAATAGTGCTACAATACCAGCACTAAATTCAGTTACATTAATGGCATAGAGTAGTGTGTTTTAGATATTCTATGACCTCAAAGTGAGGTAAACATATATGCACATATGTCCTGTCCTCCTGCACATACACGTGACTGGCACGCTATTCAGAAGATTACCCTCTGTTACAACGGGTAGTGAAAAACAAAAACACACATTGTTTACCAGAGGCCCTGTGAGTAAGGCAGCTGCCATATTTTGTTGTGATAAATAACAATCTTGTTATTGCTCCACAGAAATGACATTGAAATAAAAAATAATAAAAAAAAATGCTAAAGCCAGGCCATCTGCCCTCCTCCCAAGGTCTTATGGGAATTGGACAGCCCCTGGGTTCAAAACTGGACCCTCCAGGCTTGACACATTTATGAAGGGACAAGTGATTGGAGATTCACCAGACAGTAATCTCTGAAACAAGATTAAAGATGGTTTAGCAAAATTCTGATTTAAGATTAACATGGCTAACATTTGCCTACTCTGCTGGATCTTCAGATGCATTGTGTAGTTGCATCACATCTGTGTGAATGTATTTGCATAATGAGAGATAAAAGATTTTAACGGGCAATTTGTCCATTTGAGCACTGAGGTTGAGCTGTTCAATATATTGCAAAGTTCTGATAAAATATGTATAGTATAGTTAGATGGATTCTTCACCCAAAAATAAAAATCACCACCTTCACCCTAGTGTTGTTTCAAGCGTGTATGACTTACTTTCTTCTGTGAAACATAATAGAAGATATTTAGAAAAATGTTGGTAATCAAAAAGTTTAGTTTCCCATTGACTTCCTTTGTATTTTTTTTTTCTCCATACAATGGAAGCCCGTGGGAACTGAAACTAGTTACCAACATATCTTCATGTTCCACAGAATAAATCAAGTCATACAGGATTGGAATGCAATGAGGGTGAGTAAATGACAAATTTTTGGGTGGATTATTCCTTTAATCAGTATAGTCCATTTAGATAATAAAGGATAAAATGTTTAGCAAATTTAAAAGATTTAAATATACTGTCAAAGATGTACTTCATCAAATTCATTAAAACAGACTTTTAATGAAGAATAATTTATTGTATACAGTACAAAACTGCAAAAAAATAATGGCCTTAATAAATAATAAACCAGTAGTCACTGAACATCAGCCATGGTGTTTTTGGTATAATGTGTTGGCCCTTGTGTGATAATATGCATATAATATGAATACACTGATGAGAAAATGCATTTGTCTTGTATGACACAACCTTCTAGCACTAACCTAGTTTTTATTACATAAGCCAATAAACAATTAACCCTATAATAATAATAATGAGTACTTTAAAACTCCCAAGTGTTTACATTGATCCTTTACATAAGTATCAGTTCTTATCAAGTGCATTTATATATACACACTTTATTAAAGCCACACAATATCTCAAAATATCAGTTCTCCACAAAGAAAAAAAGATGCCAAATCAAATCAACACTCTACAGATTGCATTGATGTAATATGTATAAAGACTCCAATGCAATTTTATTGGGACTGTCATGATCCATGCTTATGGATATATTTAATTATATGGTGAAATCTTGTGACATAATGAAATCTGTCATGCAAAGTTTAGAATCAATCAAAAGAGGTGACCTGAGTATAGTGACATGCCACTTAAAGGGATAGTTCACCCAAAAATGAAAATTCTGTCATCATTTACTCACCCTCATGTCGTTCCAAACCTGTATGAGTTGCTTTCTTATGTTGAACACAAAAGAAGATATTTTAAAGATGGCTGGTAATCAAACAGTTGGTAGTTGCCATTGACTTCCATAGTAGGAAAAAAAAAATACTATGGAAGTCAATGGCAACCACCAACTGTTTGATTACCAGCAATCTTTAAAATATCTTCTTTTGTGTTCAACATAAGAAAGCAACTCATACAGGTTTGGAACGACATGAGGGTGAGTAAATGATGACAGAATTTTCATTTTTGGGTGAACTATCCCTTTAATAGGTGGTTATGAAGGCATTAAATAACACTGGCATCAATAGGCATTTTGTGGCCTAATGGTTGGAGATCTAAGCTGACAATCAAAACATTGTAGGTTTGATTACAAGGAATGATCCATATCCTCAATGTATCTTGACCTCAAGTTCATCCAGGGGGACTGGAAAGCTGGCAGGTTAAGATGACAGCTGTGTTTCTAGCTGGTCTGGTAGACCTTGGACCAGCAACAAACCAGCTATAAGCCATTTTAACCAGCTTGGTCCATCTAATGTTCAGCTAGAAACCAGATACTACTGTAGCTTATGGGGCCTGTAATAAATACAGTTAGCACCACCTAAATCGGGCTACTGCTCAGTTATATCATTAATTAGGATTGCTTGACTATTTCCTCATTGTCTTTCCCCCCATTTACAGTATTTTCATACTCCGTCTTTTTAGGCGCGGTGTTCAACTGAGCGGATACAAGCAGCTGATACGCGCGACTTCTAAACTTCTGGTCTCGCACACCATATATAATAACATTACAGCAGCTGTTCGAGGTCAAAATCCAAAAGGCAAAAAACGCAAAATTGCACCATTCGTTTCCCAACACATTTCCAACTACAAACACGGCGATGGGAGTGAAAGAAGCGGTGAAAGCCAGCGTCAGAGTGCCTATTGTCTTGGCAGCCTTGATGTCGGAGAAGGTTGGTTTCGTTGAGCTTTGACTCTCGGTCTCTGCGAGATGTTTTCTTCTTTTTGAATGCTGGCGGATTGTGGTGAGGGATATAATATTGATGACAACAGTACCTCCGAGCAGTGTAAAGTCAAAGGCAGGGAAGAGTAAGAGAATGTTCCAAGTGTGGGATGGAAAGTCTGCGCTTCCAAGCGCGTAATTGCACATGCGGCTGCAAGGATTGTACTCCAGCGCGATTTCATCGCTGAAAACCAGTGGAGATATTGCCAGGAAAAAACTGCCCATCCAGGAAAAGACTATTAGTATGTTTGTTCTCTTTTTAGTTATGACTGATTCCTTGTGCAGTGGCCTCAAAACGGCAATGCTCCTTTCAATGGTCAGGAGGAAAATGGTTGTAATGGAAACTAAAGTGCATCCCGCAAATACAGGCCCGATGAAATTGCACGGGTGGAAAGGTGTGGTTTGGGAATTGCGTGCAGTCCACTCTGGCATTGAATTGTAGATCATGAGAGATACTTCTGCGTAAACGGATACGGGCACCACAAAAATTCCCACAGCCAGGTCTGCCACGGCCAGTGAGGCTTTTAAATAACCCTGTGGAGTGTGGAAGTGTTTCGTTCCAAAGACCACTGCTAATGTCAAGAGGTTTCCGAAGAGTATAGCAATTATCAGTGATATCATGAAGACCACCATGAGTATCTTATTGGTCGTGGTACAGCAACACACACTGCAGTTTGCGAGTTCCTCTGGCATCCTTGTTCAGCTGCGCGTAAAATTCCTGTCACAGTAGCACAGTGGGATTTCTCCTCTTTGCTCGGAGGCGAGGCAAGGCACGGCGACCAGCGCATGGTGGTCTTTCCAGATTGAGAAATTCACTCCTGCCAAGAGCAATGATATAATTATGAATATTTTCACACTTTTTCATGAAGAGGATATTCCGAAAATTGTGCCTTCATATTTGTACCCAAAGACATCAGCCATGAAAAACTGACACCAATTACAAACACTGGCATTTTGAGCAAAACGATAAAAAAAGAATTTTAAAAAAGTGTATTAGCAATAATGCACATCGTGACTAAAATCATTCAAGCTAGTAAGCATTCTCGCTGGATTTAGGATGTTTTCTGATTTTAGTGCACTTTTGCACATTACCATTGTAGCTAGCCATTTTATAAAAGGATACAGATCCATAAATAAATCAATAATTTCAGCACGTTAAATTTTCATGGATAAATCTTTCCCAGCTGTTTTTTTACAATACATTTATATGCATTTAATTTGAATATTTGCATCATAGTATATTTAAAATCAGACAGAAATTTACTTTAAAACCACGTTTTCAAAATGGAAAAGCCACCAATTTAGGGAAATGACCCAAAAGACGCTCACAAAATTACGCTGGGAAATGTAAGAAAACACTATAATTTTAGAGTAAAAGCCTAAAGGAAAACCATTTGAGTTACCAGTTATTACATATAGATATGTGTATAGTGCATATAGCATAATTGTTATGTGGTACAGCTGGTGTTAACATACCTTAAAACGAAAATCCTTATCTCCAACTTCTCGGCGTCTTTCAGCACATCTGAGAAAATATTCTGAACGAGTCCGGAATATTCTGCCAAGCCTTTTTTTTCTCCACAGTTTATAAGCAAACCCCATAACAAACTAGTCAATTAACTAGTTGCACTAGTTATGCATTTGGAGAAATGTCCACTACAATCCCCTGTCTCTGACTGCTCTTTACATTGCGCGTGTGCTCGAACAGCCTTGAGCGCAAGCGAGCAGTGATGCCAGTCTGACGTGCACTGCTGCAGTCACCGGATTGCCCAATGGCTATTGTTTACTTTTCCCTCAATTACTATGCAGGCATAATCATTAGAGAAGCTATAAAATGATCTGTCATCATGAGTAATCAGCCAGTGGCTCAGTTATAAGGGCACCGCAACATGCTCAAAAAGTAATTGTGTGTATCATTGACAGGGTGTGCAAAGAGAATCCTTTCATTGCAACTTTATATATAAAGTTGTATATATATATATATATATATATATGCACACACACATATATATATATATATATACACATACATACACACACACACACGTATGATGCAATTGTCTGAATCCTAATAAGACAGAGGTGTATACCTTTATGATTAGACGTCTATTAGATTTTCACTGACAGCCCAAATTTAGCCTTGTTTTAGCCTAGACCCATATTCACCGTCTATAGATGTATATATGTAGTCGTTTAATAGCCGTTTGATGACTAGTCTATAAATGGGCTATGATTAGACGTCTATTAGATTTTCACTGACAGCCCAAATTTAGCCTCGTTTTAGCCTAGACGTCTAGGCTATATTTAGACGTCTAATAGACGTCTTTTAAACGCAAAATTGCTTGCTGGGAAGGATGTTGATCCAGGAACATGTTGTACTTGGTCAAATCACGCTCACCATATACCTTTGTGCGCACACTGGCAGGCACCTGGGGGCAGCACAGAGTTGCACTATCAACAGACTGATCTCACAATTTCTAACCAGAAAATGGAATAAAGCAATATAGAATAACATTGCATTAAACATATTTAATTCATACGAATATATCATAAAATATATTAATGTATTAAAATATAATACATATATTATTTAATACAAATAATATTAATTAATAATATAAAGTTAAACATACTGCCATCACTTCAGATCAAACCAGAAATAATCTGCAACTTGACTGAGAACAATGAAAAGCAAAAATGTAACTCTTTAAAACAAAACAGAGAGCTGTGCAATGTCCTCAGAAGCCAGGCTGCTCCAAGACATCCAAACTGCTGTCAACTATGTAATCAGAAAAGCAGTTACAGTTTCAGTGTGGGATACGGGTATCATGTTTAGATGACAAAGCTATTCTCTGCAGAAACAAGAAATACATTTAATGAGCCCAATATAGATGTGCTGAATCACCAATGATTCTTTGGTACTATGAAAACAGAAAAATGCATGCTAGCACTTTTAGTGTTAGAGTACAACACAATAGAATATTTGATACTGCATTTATGCTTTTCAGTCTTTTTGAAAATAAAATAAAATGCAGTATGGCAATGGCTAAGAAGAGGCTCATATTTACGGCAGGACAGGGTCTTTATATATGTGAATAAATGTGGGTTTCATTAAAAACATTCTGAGAGGCCAATGGTGAAAATTTCTTACTGCCTCCTCAAATTTTATAATGTTGTATTTATAACATATCCTTTACAAAAATGACCGGAATACAATAGAATGGTTGCGAAAGACTGCAAAACATGGCCTTACCCACTTGACCCAACTGAAGGAAATTAGAAAAGTGTTTTGTTGTGTTATGCATAGTCATTAAAGCTAGGCTATGTGTCAACTTACCTGAGAAAGACCAAGGTCATTTGTGTTGGCTGTAAACCTAAATCATTGACCTCATAACCCAATAGCAGTTTTAAAACGAAAGATTATGCCTTTATAACCTTGCGGTTAACTCCTCAACTGGGTTATTAACCCCACTGTTGATTACCTCACACACTAATCACATGACTCAGGCAGTTATAAAGGCAGATCTAATCTGTGGTTTATTTCTAAGAAACATGTATATGCATGTTTCCAGCGAAGAAGGAAAAGTGAAAGGCACCACATGAACACCAGACAACGTTAAATACAAGGATCAGTGTTTATCCAGATTAGTCCCTGCCCCTTCTCCCACACCACCCCGACCCGGAGTCACGCTAGTGACGCTTCACCATTCCCTGCTCCTGCCTCAGCCATATTGAAAGAGCAGTTTCCGAGTTTGGCTGCACGGGAAGGTGGCAGAAAAACTTTCAAGTGACGCTTTTTGAATTTGGAATTAAAATAATATACCCGTTGGAAAATTTACCAGAGATTGTCTACAGCCGTCGATCGGTTGCTTTGAGGTAAGCGCGCGCGTGCCTGTGTCTAAATTTACCAAGCGCTCGCGAACGGGCTGGTTTCCATTCGCGCCTGTCAGAGCAAGTTTGCATTGTGATCTTTGAACGACTACTTGTTTATCGTGGTTCATTTGATTATTTTTCCACACTAGTGTTAGTGAAATGTGTTTCAGTCAGGTAAGTTTGAAAGCTGTAGGAAGAAGTCAAGAAACTATTCGTGCGCTATGGGACAGTCCAAGCGCCTTGTTAGCTTGTAGCATGCTAACGTGAGGAAAAACTTTGTCAACGACGAAATGTAAAACTAACTTGAACACCGCAACATAGGTTTGCTGTTTAGGTATGTTCCTCTAATTCATAGCTCATTTTAGCCAGCCAGTACAAAGTTTTTATACAAACACTGTGAAAGTAATTGGTCTTTTAGTTGAGTTGTGAGTGTCAAAACACTTGCATTTTGCATTTTATATTATTTTATTTTAATTTTTTTGCAACATTTGCATTTTTAATCTGACATCATTAGGGCCTGGTTTCACAGACAGGGTTTAGACTAAACTAGGATTAGGCCATAGTTCAATTTGGACATTTAAGTAATTTTTTATAAATGTGCCTTACAAAAAACATTACTGGTGTCCCTCTTGGGACAAAACAAAGGCATTGATATATTTTAAGATCAATCAGTGCAAGTTTCTTTCAGTTGAAACAGCTCAGATTTACATTTTAGTCTTTAAGCCTTGTCTGTGAAACGGGGGGTAGAAGTTTTACTATTAACTTCGCCTGTGTGACAGCCAGTGCTCGGTGACTCATCGAAACTGCATAGTGAAAACCACCCAACCCTGTTCCTTGCTAAACAGCATGGTCTCAGTCATATAGTGATGGGAAAATTGAGGAGTAACGTTTTTTTCTTTCCTCTATAATCGCTTGTCAACGAGAACATTTGCAATTGCTTTATATTTAAGGCCGCATAAGTTAACTAGTAACCAGTTGTGGTGGCTTGGAAATACTTGGTCGAAATGCTATGGGTAATATTTTACAGCATGTAACTGCACGATCAGGATAAATGAAATTAAATAAATACATGGATCCAAACATATTTTAGCAGTAGGGGCAGTATGAAACTTTTATGTAGTTGCCGTTAGTCTGATACTTTTTTTTGCCTAAACTTTTTTTTTTATGCTTCATACATACTATGTATGATTTTCATATGACCTCACACTGAGCATTCATTTTAGAGTTTTTTTTAAGATGAGGTCCTCAGAAATGTTTCATATATCCTATTGTCACAGTTTCACTTCTGCATTCATATGGCTGTTTGATTCACACCTGCACTTTTAAAAAGGGCGATGGAGTCGGGTGTTTGTATTTGTGAAGATGGATGCTGTCATACATTCATGGATGTATTTAAATGTAAAATCGTTTTCTTGTAAATTTGGCTTTGTCTGTTTGTACCTTTGGACTGTGTGCAAAGTTCTTCAAAGTAGAGACTGATCTCCATCTCTCTCTCTTTCTATGTATGTATGTATATATAGTCAGTACTAATTAAAAAAATATTTTAACGTTTGAGTGTCTGACACCTGGTATGCAGAAGGAGAACTGATTCTTAAATGTTTATTTCTGCTTTTCAGTGCAGAAATAATAATTGGACTGCATAAATAAAAGGATTATGAATATTCTCAGTTTGCTGGATTTGATTGTTGGTGATTTGGCATGATCTTGGATTATTTGGTTCTTCGAAGCTCATCCTGGACTTGCTGTCATAGCAACAGGTCCTTAAGTTTAAGGCCCAATCCCATTTCTACCCCTTAGCCCCCTTCCCCTTTCCCCTACCCCTCCGTTTTGCGCGTTCACGTGAAGGGGTTTCATTGCTGAACATGTGTATGTTTTCAGAATGAAGGAAACCGATGTTTTCATGGTGCATTCCTTAATTTTGTCTTATTTCTTACCTTTGGTGCTACTTGTCAAACCAGGCTTTTCAGACGTGAAAAGTAAGTTAATGGTTCAAAATAATCATGTTTACCAGCCTTGCTTGATACTTCTACTTCTTTACTTGATGCTCTCACTGCATGAGTACAATTGGTCTCACTTTCCTAATAAATTCAAAATAGATTCTTCAGAACAATAATAAATTATTTATGGATAAGTCAAGATTAGCTCTTTAAAGTTTAATTCTGTTAGGCTTTGAGTTGATTTTGTTTCTGCATTGCAGTCATTACTCTGCCATTGACCTCAACATGTTTGCTATGATTTTGTGCAATGATTATTTTCAGCAAAAATCTTAATTGTAAATGCAATATGTCTTCTAACGATGTTGAGTCAACCATTTATAATGTTCTAAATGAATCTTACAAGTAATAATATGATTTTGGTACATCTAAGGATCAGCCTGTGCTTATGCAAGTCTGTCTTATGCTAACTTAGTCATGTCTGTAATAATGGGTACAGACATATGGCCAAGCAATGTCAGCAAGACAGACAGCAGGGTCAAACTGAAATGTTGTGCAGTGTAATGAAGCAAAAGGGATTTTTGTTTTGTTATATGTAGTTATTCACCAAAGATTATTAAAGGAGACATATTATGCCCCTTTTTACAATATGTAGTATAAGTCTCTGGTGTCCCCAGAATGTGTCTGTGAAGTTTCAGCTCAAAATACTCCACAGATCATTTATTATATCATTTTGAAAATGCTTATTTTGAGAGGAAGCAGAAACAAACTGTTTTTCGTGCCTGGCTCTTTAAATGCAAATGAGCTGCTGCTCCACGCCCCCTTTTCCAGAATAGAGCTGCACCATTACAACTCTGACCTGCTAAAAACATCTGTTTTGGTTCTGATTATCATGTTTATCG